AGCCTATAAATGCCATTTAGTATTTTTAAGTAAGTCTTCTATTTTGGCGCAGTCTAACACAAAAAAAAACCTCGTAGACCAGTACTAGCCTAATAATAGCTGTGCTTTTTCAAAGGGAAGATGCAGATGAAAGACCTCAAGTACAGCGCAATATCCTTTTACATGTACGGAACCCGCCGATGCTTTCCACTACAGTTGGCTGTTAGATGCGATTCCAAGTTACACACTTTGTGGTATGCATTGGTTGTAAAGTGGTCGAATTTATTTAATATAGGTATGCTGCACACTAAAATATCTCCCAGTGATTAGTACAGAGTCGATCTTTTCCGTGTTCACGCTGAGTCCGACTTTCGTAATCTAGTCGCTGACGGTCTTCAGCGTCTTATTCGTCAAAGAGCTGGGGGTTATCAGCCATTGGCCGCTGACGATGAAATCACAGCTACTCCCTCCTCCACCATGGTGATAATGACCCCCCATTATTGTGCAACTCTGTGTGATCTCATTCAAGTACCATAGCGTCCAGACCTTTCTACAGTGTAATATGTTGAATATCCGACTACTCAGAGCTTAATAAGTATTTCGAGATATTATAATACGCTCCAGCGTATCTATAAGAGAGAAATTGGCCAAGAGATGAAAGACTAGCGATCTCTTTCAATAAGAAGAGAGTCGCCACTTATTACAATACCTACCACTGTTGCCAGCTATGACTTCTTGGAAGGTGTAAAAGACTTTGTTTAAGAACCATAAAATAACCAGGAGGATGGTCAAGACTCCACCCATGTGGGGACAATTTTGATCACTGTTAACCAGGGATGGCCAGAATTGATTATTTTGCATCCTGTTTAAGAAGCTCGCAGCTTCCAGGTTACACCTAGTATCTTCTAGATGGCAACAGCCGTTTGGAAGCGCGCAAGTGCGAGAAAGAAAAAACTCCAGCAATGGGTTGTGCGCTGGGCATGGGACCGGACACGTGTAAAAAGCGCAATAAATAGATGAAAGCAGTCTTGGATATAACACACCAGTTAACTGATCCTTCGATGCAGCACCCATGGGTAAGTAATGAAATAAAGGGTGCTCGAAGTACTAAGTGCAGAAGGCCAGTCGGGATGAACAACTCGAGCTATTTTTCGACACAAACCGATAGACGGTTTAGCGCTCAATAAGATGAAGAATATAAGCACCTTCGAGGTCAGAGTGGGATCGAGCTAAGAATAACTATTGCCAACAGGTGTTACCTGAAGCCCTCTATCGTTGAACAAAAAACAAAATTTTTTACAATATCTATGGCCATTTTGGAAATCACACAACGTGCGACAAACAAAACTACTACTTCTGCATAGTTCAGAGTTCATTGCAGTTTGTTCCTTTTGGTAAATTCTTTATTTCGAATGATTTGTACGAAAATGGTCGATATATGATCTTTGGAAGAAATCTTTTACTAGTAAAATGTTTATTGAATATTACTTGTGGGGATGCCATGGGCTATGCGGAGTTGGCCACTATGTATTAGAAAAAAATTTATATATTTCAGAATTCTTCGTTTGCATATATGCGCAGCGCTTTAAATCCAAGAATTTAAGGCTACATTAAATTGAACTTACATGTATGTATGTAGACTTGTCTATTAGTGCATAAGTTGGTAGCATGTGTTCATATGTATTCCAGTTCCAATTGTTAAAATATAATTACACCACAATCGCTAGCTCATCAGCCATATATTATATTGGCAGTTTTCATGATTGATTGCTATTATCAATGACGACAGTTTCCTGTATTTTATACACGGACGTTAGTACAAACAGACTTCGAAATTACTAAATAGCAATATCTTGCAACTAAAATTCACTATTGTGGTTATATTATTGAACTAAGGAGCTTGACCAGTAGTTGTGCACTACCAGTGGCTTCATCCTTCACAGATATACAAGCTACAGACAATCCAAGTTATATGTATTTATGATTTACTCCATTGCAATGCACATACATACATACTTTATCTTCCATCTTTACCTTATTATATTACTTATGTATGTATGTCTGTACTTCTTAACCATCAAGTGATTACATCTATTTTATGCAAATTTAATAAACCTCAAATGTGTTGGCACAAATCACAAAGATGTTGCCAAGAACAATACTATGGAGCAATAATAAACATTCGAGCTATCAAAATCAGTGTTGGGCAGTATCGATACCAAAAGTACTCAGAACTCGCTTCGATACTGAGTACTCCAAAGTACTCACAAAAGAACGCTAAAGTATTCACAATTTGAAGGAACACAAAAGTACTTAGTACTCAAAAATACTCGGTTCCAATCATCAAAATCAACTTTGATACATGTACTCAGGATCGATTCAAAGTACTCAGTATTAAGTGTAGAATAGTTACTTGAAAAGTATTGAGTTCTATTTGCATTTACCGGTATTCAAGAATGATTATACTCAATTTCAAGTTTCAATAATTTTCAAGTACAATACTTGTACCCAGTACAACCGACAGCCATTCAACCGCCGTTATTTCGGATTAATATATTAATTTGAATAAAATGCTGGCAGCTTGTGAGATTTCTACACTAAGCATTGAAATATTACCAAAATGTGTATATTTAAAGAAAGTATGCAGTAACGTCAAAATTACTCGATCCTCAAAATTACTCGATGATGCTTCCCAACACTAATCAAAATCAAACAGATGCCTAACATAATAGACGGTTGGGGTCCAAGTGAGAGTCTACATACATCTGCAGGACGAAGGCGTATAGTACAAGAGATTGTGAGTGTATGTTATTAATACGAGTACTTCATAATCAAAATGAAAACAAGAGTTTGAAATCAATTTTCAATATTTGCTGCTTTTTGAATTGCAGTTTGGATTTTGACAGCTGTTTAAATATTGATAATTGAAAGTAGAAGAGTAAGTAAAAAAATGTGGAAAATATAAGGAAGGTGAAAAGAGAGAACTTTGGTGTAAGTGATTTCATCAAAAAGAATACTGAATTTTGAACAAATTAGGTATACGAATTTCGTTATAATTTAATTGTGAAATAATCTCCTATGGATGATGATCATTATACCTTTCATAGACATGTAATTATACTCTAACTTGGTCCGATTTATATAAAAAGTATACCAAAATTATCAGAACGTCCAGCTAAGTCGATTTACAGGGCAACTCTGGCTAAGATAGTTGAAAGTCTTTTGTAAGACAATTGAAATACACTAACTAGGCAAGATGGTTTGAAAGACTTTAGTTATTCTGGCACGAAACTCATAAAAAAGCTCGCTTGCCAACTTTCAGGTGAAAGTTTTTTTTTTTTTTTGACAGAAAACTCTTGTATATCATTTAGCTCGTGCTGCTGTCCGTGTGAGCAGAGCACTGGCGTGCCATTGAGAGCTCCGAACTCGAGTCCTCGGCAGCGGAATTTTTTGTTTTTCTTTTTAAATTACTCTTTTTATTTAACTTCTTTAAATTTTTAGATTAAATTTTTTTTTAAGAAAAGTAGATATTTTCTTTACTTCCTATTATTTTTAGAAACTGATTTTATTTTGTTTCCTCTTTCTTTTTTAATTTACATTTTTGATTTTAATGTTAAAAAAAAATATTTTTTTTTAAACTTCATTTAATTTTTAGAAACATATACTTTTTTAATTCCATTGTTTTATGTTTTTGCTTTTTTATTGTCACATTTTATTGTTTTGAAAAGAAACAAATATTTTTTAAATTCATTTAATTTTTAGGAGCTTTCTTCTGCTTTTATTTGATTTTTTCGTTTTAATTTAATTTTAATTTTTAGATTATATTACATATTTTAAAAAGCAAAACATTTAATTAAATTACATTTTTAGGATCTACTTTGTTTTTTTAATTAATTATTTTTATTTTTTAGATTTTATTCTTAAAAAGACAACCATATTTATTTTAAGTTCATTTAATTATTAAAAACTTTAATTTTTTTATTTTAATCGGGACCATTTCGGGTTCGGGTTCATTTAGTGGCCTATTTAGGATCAGAGACTAATAAAATAAAATTAAACTAATGTTTAATTCTTAACTTATATATACACATGCATACATATGTACACTAGACTGCATCGCTCCCCATAAAAAAAAAAAAAAATCGGTACTATTTTTCCACTGGAATTATAAAATCTATTATATTTTAAGACGTCCACCAAAATATTTCGGAAAAATATTAAGATCTAAATAAGCTGGACCGATTTGAAAATAACTCTGAAAATGGAGTTTTTTATGAATAAAAAGAGTTTATTAAAGATTTTTTTTTTAAAAAATCCCCTCAAATGACAAAACGGTTTAAGCTTAAAATATTTACATAAAAATATTAAAAAAAAATAAAAAAAAAAATTTTTGGTCCAGTTATTCAAGTTTTTCGTAAATCAATCTTTGAAAAAGTAAAAAAAAAAAACAGCATCAAAAATCTCATTCTTACGATTCCGTTGAAAAGATTTTTAAATATTTGTATGCAGATTTTTTAAGCTTAATCTAATTTGTCATCTGAGGGGACTTTTTTCAAAAAGTCCTTCAAGAAACTATTTTTATTCATAAAAAACTTAATTTTTGGAGGTATTTTCAAATCGGTCCAGCTCGCTTAAATCTTAATATTTTTCCGAAATGTTTTGGTGGACGTCTTAAAATATAATAAATTTTGTAATCCCGGCGGAAAAACCGCAACTTTTTTTGGTGATGCAGTCTAATGCGCACACATGGTACTTTTTAGGAGTTTGTTCAATATTTGAAGTAGTTATAAGGCAACTACATAGTTGTAAGTATTTCTGAAAATCGATAATTTTTCAAAGAAATACTACACAGATAAAGACAAATAATCAGTCTCTGATGTCACGGCGATTACTACATCGATTGCAGTTCCATCAGAAAATGCAAGAAAAACGCATTTTAGGTATTATAGGTGTAAAAGGATTCATACACATTTAAATAAACTAAATAAAAAAATATATACAATTTTATATTTTTTACTTACGGTCACTTGTCCGTTTGGCGTCTCTGGCGGTTCCCAAGTTATGACCATTGTTGAGGAACTCAGCGGTCGGACTTGCACATTGCGTGGAGCACTTTCCATTTCTGTAAGTGAGAGTAAAGGCGAAATAGTGATTGATGAAAATTGTCATAAATAGTTAGTTTTGCAATTTTTTTTTTGCTGGAAACTTCATCAGATTGCTTTCATACATTTTACGCACTTCCAACACAAATTAATTCATTAAGCAGGCAATACACTTTTCACTACTAAAATAATTTGTTTGTGTATATGTATGTATGAAAAAGGAGTACTTATCACTTACAAACCTTTTTGTAGCACTCACACGCACTCAAAATTTCAAAACGTCAATCCATCAATCATGCCATTAAAATTCAATTAAACATTTTACATTTCAACATGGGAAGGGCAAATCCTCAATTAATCAGCATGCCGAACACAAGAAATACATGTAAATCTCATTTTATCAATTAAGTATTCGCCTTATTAACACAAAAATTAATTCAATTATAAACACATTTATTGAGCGTCTGCCACCCCTGCTGCCCCCACCTTCAGTCACTCACACAAATCCGCTGCCAATTTATTTCCTTCATTTCACTGCAAGGCCACTTCATTTCAATTTCATCGCCATGCACTCATCTTCATTCAATGCATTCGTCATTTCTTATTTTAACTTCAATTAGTCATTATGCCACTACAGCGTAACCGCAGCATCAATTACGTGCAATTAAAAATGGAGCGAAGCGGCTAGGGTGGTGATGGTACCATGGCGCCCAGCAGCTGACAGGTGGAAAGAGAGGAGGGGGAGAGCGATATGGAGCGCGCAGTTCACCATGAAGCAGCAGCCAGTCAGCGCGCGCCAGGCACTCTAGCAGTCAAGCAGTCAGCCAGCCAGCCAGCCAGCCAACCGGCAATTGAGCCAAAGCAAAAGTCAAGCGAGATCAGCGAAGTGAATAACCACTACTTCCTCCACATCAAACGCATAGGAAACGGAAGAGGAAACAAAGAACCGCAATGCAATTGAAGCGCATGCAGCTACGCTCACACCGTTACAAGCTCACACTTACATACATGCATTCAATCTTAAGTATGTATACGCCCACCAACATTTACACAACTCCGATATTCTCGAACGGTAAATGGGTAAATCAGGTGGTGTAGTATTGCATGTTGTTCATTAATTGCTAATTAAAAATATGCATGCACCTATATACACACATACATACATATATATATATTTACATATATACACAATTGCATTAATAAATGATGCATTTAGCAGAAGAACAAAAACGTCAAAATGGTCGTTGATGAGAAATGAAATGAAAAGAAATCGCGAGAAGCCAGTTGCAGTCGTAGCGGCTTAAGAAACCCGGTAAATTGTATAGAAAATGTTGACAGAGGAAAATTATAAAAAATCGGGCAAAAGTGCTTCTCTGCAAATGGGTGTTGAGCGATAAGGAAAACATTAACTACGGCTGGAGCAGAGTGTCGGTTCATAGATTTAATGAGACAAATTAAATTGAGTAAATTTTAGTGAAGGAAATCAAATTTATGTATGCATATTGCATACGAGGCCCAAGGAGAAAAAAATGGGACGAAGAACTTAAATGAAACAGTAGGTAATAGTTAAGTAATACCATATTCTGACCGACCTCGAAAACATGGTTTCGTTGCTATAACTGGTTTTCGACCTAAAACTTGTGTTTTCGTCCATGTAAAATCAGTGCAACGAAAGCCATTTTTCGCGCTGAAAACTACTTGAAAACTCATGTTCTACTTATTCCAAACGCTGTCTGCCCTAGCTTTTTTGATTATTTATCGGAGTGGAAGTCATATTGTATCATCTATTTTGGTTTTGTTTTTGTGTAGCAAAACTGTAATCAAAGGATGTAAGAAATGTCAACGAAAACACTAACAACCGGTGCGAACAGCCTTCAGCCCACAATCCCATGATTTCCTCTTCACCACGACAGTAGTCGTTTGACTGCAAACCCATTTAAGCAGCGTGGGTTCCCATCAGGCCATGTGCCCGTTGAGAACTCCAATTACATGCCGGAGTAGTGGTTGCTCCAAGAGCGGAGGAGAGGGCGAGATCTACGCTTATCCAACATAGGCCAGGTATGTCTTTCTATCGTGCACGTAGGCTTTGCAGAACATCTTCTATTTGTCCGTTCGATAAAATTATTCTTTAGCCAGAGTTTGCAGGAATGCCCGCATTATGAGCTGTACTGATTGCACATAGCAAGGTTTCTTTCCTTGCTACTTCAGCTGCAACACAGTTGCCCGGTATATCTTTATGGCCTGTCACCCATATAACATTAGTGACGTAACACCTTGCCAGTTCATTTAGAGTACGTCTACATTCCATGGCAATTTTCGATGTAGATTTGCCACAATTAAGTACTTTAATAGTCGCCTGGCTATTAGAAATGATAGTTACCGCATACAGGCTAATAAGAGAACCGATCAGCCGTCTTGCAGCTTCATTGAAAAACGCTACAGAGATCTGGTAGACGAAAACCAAGGCTAAGTTAGAGTTCTTGTGAGTATACCCCAGTTCCTGTTTTCAGATCCAACTTGAAGCCATCAGCGTAGATGACTGCTGAGCCAAATTACGAGATCATTACAGAATCCTCCTCCCATTAACCCCTTGAGAAGAACCTTGTCTGGAAATGATTCTTTAGTCCAGTAGGCGGCACTATGTAGTCCAGGTGCCTGAAGTCTACTGGAAGACCTTCCAAAATTCTAGAGTGCCCTAACCTCGTGTCACTCCATTCGATAAGTGCGCTTAATCTAATAGCCACACTGTTCAAAAAATCTGAAAGTCCTGTACGGTCCAAGAGAAGGTCATGCAAAACGGAATTAGCAAAAATGGAATTATTTCTTAGTTGCGGCCTTCTGCATTTAAGTCCTGCAAACCATGCTTTCAGAGTTATCTGAATAGAAGGGAAATCTTAAAGAATTCGTAATGAATCATTTTAAATAATTATTTCCCTTCCCAATTTTTGTCGAATTTTGTCTAAAATAAAATCTACTGTGCACATTTCGATTTTTTAAAATTAACTGATTTTTTTTTTTAGAATTTTCTTAAAGAAACCTTACAGATAGTTCTTTACGTTAAAGATTTCGGAAACGTTGGTTTGCAGGGAGGTGACGGATATGTACATACGATTTCAAAAGCATATTCAAATGTATTTGTATTTTCAAAAAAACATATTTTGTATTTAAAATTTTTTGGTAAAATTATTTTGTATTTGCATCTTAAATACTTTTTATGTTAGGTATTTGTAGTGTGTATATAAGTATTATTTTGCAAGTATTTTTATCATCTCTGAAATACAAAAAGACGTAACAAACATCGTCGCTAAAATTCACAAAGTCATATCTAATAAAAAATATTCAAAATTCACTTTTTGATTTATATGATGGATTTCATCGAATTACAACTCCTACATCATTTAGTGAAAAAATAAATAAAAATTTTTAGTTACGACTTTTTCCATTTAAGTTATGATGTGGTTACGTCTTTTTGCATTTCAGGTAACGATATGTGCACTCGTATGTCCGTAACGTAGGTAAAATATTTGGATAAAGCTATACTTATCCTTAGTGATAAGTGCATACAAATAATATTCCTTTTATTTCACTCTCCTCTATCATCATCGCATATTTCGTCGCCATTTAGTTGCACATGCATAGAAATTTTGCGCTTCCGAAAATAAACAAACCGCTTGCATCTTACTACGCTTACTATCTATTAGTATTTGATTGATATGATGATTGTGTGTGCAATAGCAGACGTTTAAATTCTTGTACAAAATTTACATATTAATATGCTTCTGCAGCATTTGTATAGCAAAAAAGTATGCAAAAAGTTTAACTTAATATTATTCTTGCATTTCATGCACTCAACGCCACCGAACTTTATGCCCAAACATACACACACACACACACACACACATAGAAAAAGCTTCCATTATTCCGTCCGCATTGGTTTTAAAATACATATATTCTTGCATTCACTTATTTGGAAATTGGCGCTGAAATAACTTTTTGCGAAATTTATTTATTTGTGTTACTTTTTTCGTTTTGTTTTATTCAAATAAACTTTCCTTTCATATGTACGTCGACCTTCTGACTGTCGACAGATCTGGCTTTCAATCTTGCAAGTATCTCCAAATTTATTCAAGCAATTTTATGCTAGTATTATTATGTTGTCTTATCAGCAATTCAATTTTGAAATTGTTAAGATTATTTATTTGGATACTGAAGATATGAAGATACACATTGTTTTGTTTGTCTGTAGGATTGCTTGGCGCTGTGAGCTGGACAAGGTTACACGTGTAGTGTAATGCGCCTGCTAGTAGACTACATATTTATATACATACATGTGTACATGCATACATAAATATATTTTAATTTTATTATCTGATTGGTGAATATTTTTTTGAGGAATCTCTTTCATGAAAATCCTAATTGTATGTAGTTTATTTGTAAAGATGTTTGCCAAAAGATACTACAGTGTATTGTGTTTACGATAGCGGTACAAAAGTGAATTCCAAGAGAGAAAAAGACGCATCAAAAGAGTCTACTAAAATACTTAAAGCTTAAAATTAAAAATTTCATATGAGATTCGGTTTTTGAATAGGTGCTTAACAACATTTAGTTCATTATGTAATCGAAATCATTAATATTTAATGATAAATTTTAATAAAGCAGTGAAGTTTTTATATGTTTTATACCTTTCATGAACATAAAATGGTATTATAACTTTGGTCCGATGTATCTAACTGTTAGTAAAGTAACCCTTTTCTTGTATGACACCTGTATTAAAATTTTGAATTTAACTTTTCATTAAATAAGATTTGTTTTTCGAAACAGCAGGCAACCCTCTTCGAAAATACTTTCTAATTAAAGCTTTCTTAAACGTCTCTACTTTTATATATTTTTATACACTTTTCACTTAGTTTGCTGACTAAATTATTTTTGAATTTTTTAACAGGCGGCAACCCTAGTCAAAAATATTTTCAAACAAAAGTGCCTCTTTTGATACCTACATACATAAAAATTGTTAATTTAG